TCTTTACTTTTTGTTTTTAAAATTGGAGACACCTTAACCTCCTATACACACTTTTTCAACCATAGAACTCGTCCCTAACAATCTAAGTAAGTGGTTGGGAGAGACCCTAGGGAATACGATCATGTCCTTCGGGCCTGTAGACAACACATTTTGTCCGGACCAGACGCTATACCTAAACTCAAAAAGAGGAAAATTATACTATAAATTAAATGGGATGCTTGGGAAGAATTGGTTGAGATTGCAATGGCAAGTCGATAAGTACCAACAATTACCAAATTCACTTTTGTTTATTTCTATTACTAATTGGTTGAGTTTGTTCATTTCTACTACTGATTGGTTGAGATTAGCAGTGACTAGTCAATAAGCACCAATGATTCTCAAAATCACTTTTGTTTAGTTCTAATATCATTTCAGTTTAAATTAGCAATGGCTAGTCGATTAATACAAATGCCTATCATTCCTATCATGTCCACTTTAATTTGATTCAAGCTCAATATTAGCTGAGCATAGCAGCTTGCACTAAAGTTACCCTATGCAGTTTGAGATTGGTCGAATTCATTTTACAGTTTATCAAATGGGATAGGAAGAACAATATTGTTTTGCAAAAGATCACTATAGAATTTGGGTGTACAATCAGATATTCACTGGGCTCTTGCCGACAAATGATTACATGTACAGGTAATAAAACAAATACCCCTAATCAATTTGGAGCAGAATCTGAGGCTTGTAGCCCATCACTCGGAAGCCCAAACCAGAAACCTGCAAATAAAAAGGAGAGATCAATTAGATTAAGCCCATTTTCAAACCATAAACCATTTCAAGCCCACAATCTTATAGCCCAATCTGGTCAACTAGCCCGGTCAACCAAAGTCAACGAGTCAGCTTTGGTCAACTCGGGTTAATGGACTCCTTGGACCTTATCTCATCCCAAAGGACCAACAATAATTACTGCCACTTCTTGAAAGGAGGAAAATGGCCAGCTCTTCTGCAAACCGAACAAACAATTGACAACACACCCAAATGAATAGTAAAAAAACCAGATATAAAAGTGGAGGTCGGCTAAAAACAAAGGGGGGCTTCTGGCTGGAAATCCATAAAAAAAGGGAAATGAGCAAAAAAAAAAAAAACATAGGAAGCTTGAGAGGAGAATAGAGAAGCAGATAAATAGAAGATAAAGGAGGTAACAGCAGCACGCAGAAGACGAGGAAAAAGGCATCAAGCATCAAGCAGCCAGCAAAAACCAAACAAGGGAAATCAAGCTAGATGTCCAGGTTGGTAGTTTTCGGATCCACACTACACCCATATTTCATGTACAATATAAATATACTCATTCATCTATACCTATCAAGCATAGGTGAAAGAAGAAATGAATGCTCTACATGATATATTTGTATGTATATGGTTATGTTAGATAACTTCCAGTTAAGAGTTTTTTTCTATTTATTTGTATTAGAATATGACTTGAATTTGATTTGGATTTGTTTTGTGTTTTAGGCCTATTTTGTTTGGGTTTGGGATTGAGTTTTGTTTTGACCTTTTCCTTGTATGTTTGGGAAAAGGTGTTTGGTTTTCTGTTTGGGATTAGGAGAAGAGTTCTATAAATACTCTTCATCACCCTAGTCTGTAGGAAGGTCAGTCAGGTTAGTTTGTTTGGTTTGTCCATTTGGAATTTGGTTTGTAACCTGTACTCTCCTCAAATTAGTGAAATTTGTTCCCCTCTGCCCGTGGATTAGCTAGCACACATTGTGTTAGTGAACCACGTTAAATTTGTGATCGTTCGTGTTGGTCTGGATTATCGATTGCACGCTTCTGTTCTGACAATTTGAAACCAAATCATGCTACAATTTAACCAAGCCAACCGAGTTGATAACATATTAAATAAAACCACACTCATCTAGCATATATAAATTTGACAAATGCAATAACAAAAGCAATAAGTAGATCGGCTCTGTTCTTCTTCTAGATTTGTTTTTTGTGGATATTGATGCTCTTCATATTTCAGTATCTTGTGATCTAAGTCTGTTTTTCCTAGATTTGTTTAACTCAAACTCTCTCCATGTAAAACAATAGAAAAAGAGATTTTCTAGAATCCCTAATCAATTTAAAAACCAGTTTCTGTACCAGTTAAACAGAAAGGCTTGACCTCAATCAACCTATAAATCATAAGCAGTAGCTGTGATATTAGGTTATCTCAATCACCATTAGTTCAAAAACCCAGCGAAACAAACGATTAACCAAATTTTACCATAAACACCAATTCACCCAACTGATTTAAGAAATGGATTCCTAGTTATTTAAGACCTAGAACCCGAATTCATTTAGGAAACCAGAACAACAAATTAAAAAAAAGGACATCAAAACCAAACCTCGCCGTCGGCTCTGGCGCAGGCCGCGCCGCCGCTCCCTTCCTTCTCTCGGCGGAGGTCCAAAACAAAAAAACAAAAACAAAAAAGGTTAAATCTCGATCTAATGCATTAAATCGAACAAAAATGGACATGCATGTAGAAAAATCTTACCAGAGAGCAAGGTCCCCTCGTCGTCACCTCCATTCCAAGTTGAAAGGGTAGATCGAGAGCAGTATAAGGCGATTCGAGAGTTCCACTTCGATTTCAAGCCGATTTCGGGAAAGAAACAAGAAAATAGGAATCAAAACTCTAAAACCCCAAAAATACATGATCGAACTAAAAAAAAATAAAGATGCATGTCGAGGATCTTACCTAGATCTTTGACCTTTTATCGATTTAGGGAGACTAGAGTCGTACCCTTGACTAATCGAAAGGGGAGGAGGCGGCTGTCAGGGTGTCTCTTGGTTTAAGCGGATCCGATTTCAGTTTCCTTTGCCTCCCCATTCGTCTCAGAGAAAGCAGGAAAGGAAGGCGAAGAGAGGAAGAGGATGACGGCGGCTAGGGTTTAGATTTTTTTTTTTTTTTTGCGGTTAAGAGAGACGACAGGAACGAGAGAGAGGAGAGAGAGGCGAGTGAGCGGCGTTGTTTAGTCTGGCTACGGTTTCGTTGGCATTTTTTCTGTTCTGGAATGAGAAGAGAGAAGAGCCGAGAGAGAGGAGAGGTGGGATGAGAGAGAGTTAGGAGGCGGCCGCTTGGGGTTATGGAATTAGGGTTTGATTTTGGTCTTTAAAGACAATTTATACCCACCCGTAAAAGACTAAATTTCCCTTACACTATCTTTCCGAAGGAAGGGAAGAAAAGGAGGGGAGGTGAAGGAAAATTAGGAGGGGAGGGGAGATTTGGAGGTGAAGGAAATTGGAAGGAAAATGTTGTTTTATGGAGGAAAGTAGGAAGGAAAGTGTGTTTTGGGAAGTGTGATTAATATGTTATTATTAGTTATGTAATAGTAAATAGACTTTGTTTATTTAAAAACCGTTATTTAACCACATCAATCATTTAAAATAGAGACTTTATAATAATTGATCAAGGATTCTAAATCAATTAAAAATAATTCAACTTATTAAAATTTTGTTTGCTATTTTGTTGATTTATCAACATAGCAACTAAGAACATAAACAAATATGGCATCCACTTTGAAATCGACACATTAAACTCGAAATTTAGCTAGACCGTTAATATTGACAGACATTAGTCTCTTTTGTCTATGACGCAACATATAATTCTAAACTAATAACCCACTAACCTACTAAATCCTAGACTAATTAACTCATTGACACAAATACATATACTAACCCCAAAACCCAACATTTATCTCATCATGCTGAGAAGAAGTTTTTCTGGTTCTCTATCCTAGGGAGAAGAAAAAAGAAGATACAGAAAAGTAAAGAGAGAGGTGAGAGATGGCAAATAAAATAAATGGAAATGTTGATAGTGGGAAGTTTCTCTCGGTTTTGAGGGGTGAGTTCAATAGTAACCTTTTCCTTTCTTTTCCTTCACCTTGTCACTGTTTCAAAACTAAAAAACAGGGGAAAGTGCATTGGTTCTGCAACTTTCCACTCATTTCTTTCCCTCCCCTCCTTTTCCTTCTCATAAAAACATAGTGTTAGGGTTTCGTTGTAATTACGCGGTCGTGCCACCGCGTTTTTGACCATTTACCAAATTACCCTTCCTCCATCTCTGCATTAAAAAGTGAAAACACCAAAAACAGTGTCCACCAAGATTCGAACTCGGGTATTCGGGTATATGCATCCGACGCCTCAACCAATTGGGCTGCTGGCACTTCATGCGTAAACATCATCATCTCGTTCAATTTTATTCGTTTTAAAATCCTTAATACGAAATGTTGAATGCGGATTAAGTTTATCTTGCTTCTTTTCTAATACATCAAAATACTTCATAATAACTAAACTCCTTGCAATAATCAATTTAAATTTTATTAACAAAATTATAATACGATAATAACGTTCAGTTGAACGTGGTAAAAGTTATAATTAAAACAATCAAAGTCACAATGAACTACGTGGACTCTGATCCCGTCTAACGGGTACGTAGGCAACCGATAAGGTTCGAGTCCAACTAACCAATTAACTTTATCTTTTACGTCATTGGGCGTACAATTAAATTACAATTAATACCATTTAATTTCTTCAATGGTCCAGTGGGACCCCTAAAATTAAAAAATTATTACTAAAAGTACACCCAACTAATATAAAACTTAACGACTTAAGTAGTACCGATTTAGGGCGTTGTGGGGGTGTTGCTTAACTTCCCCACACATAACCGTACTCTCGAACCCATATCTCTTAACCGCAGACCATATATCGGTTCTGACCCTAAAGTTAGAGCCGACCGAAGAGTGTTCGATCCACTCCAAGTAAGATCGATGGCAACTCCCATAAAGCGAACGCGACGACATTCGAACCCCCGGAGGGACGGTTGCGACAGGGCCAAGAAAATTTGGCACCACGTACTACAAGTGAACACACAGCTCTTTGTTTGAGAACTATGTAACAAAGACGGTCACGATGGGCACAACTGTGGGACATTATGCCAAATCAACAATAGAGGAGGTCGACTTTCTGGGTACTCATTATCCTCAATCTCGTGACTTTAATCAGAATAGCTTTGGATACCATAAATCTCGACCTCCATATCCTTCTTAAGCCCTCGACCTCTTCTGGGAGGTCAAAAACCTGTCGACTATCCAAAGATCTTATCAACCAATGTGCCCTATCTTCATTACGCGCATTGGGATGACAAAGCACACTATCCTAATTGGTTAAAAAGATCGAATCCCACGCTGCCAGGATTCGATAGGAGCCCTACATTTATGTACCATAACGCGAACCCGCCTGATCCCTTAGAATAACATGCATACATCTAAGGACAGGAGGTGACACTTTAGAAATGTGTCAATTTGTGCATAAATTTAAAAAATAAATTTTAATGCCACACTCCCTCATCAAAATTTAAAGTTACCATACATTGAATTGTTTGTCTCTAAGTTAATACGTAATCTGGGGAGGCTAGTGTAGGGGCTATGAAGTATGTCATTGATAATGTTGTATTTGCACACATTTGCACCCTCGTTTCTTGATAATTTTGGCTTGAGTTTTTGCTTTCTTGGACTATTTTACGCTAGGTTGTGTTCTTTTGTCACATTTCAGGTCCTAGCATGTAAATTGAAGCAAAGGCGCAAGTTTCAAGTCAATCGAAATTCATTTGGCAATTCGGGAGAAGAAACACGAATCAAATTCCCCCACACTTAACCTTTTGCTTGTCCCCAAGCAAACCTAACGCAAACCAATGCAACTCCAGACCTCTATAGCGACATGCACCCTCGATCGTCGGTAGAGGATTTCCTAGATCATTTAGCAGCTTACGAGGTCAATCAACGCACAAGTCATCTCCTAGCTTCTTCGACGAGAACGCTAGTCTCGAGTCGGTATCATGGAAAATAGTGATCAGAGGACAAATGAATCGTGGATGACGAGACTCTCAAAAACAAAAATCATGGACTCACATTTTAAGGTTCTCTATTTTCTTCCTGAAGATGGTTGGAACCCTTTTTTCTTCTTTTTTTTCTTGTTTGTCTTTTTTTCTAGGGTTCCAACCTGTTTTTTTCTTCTTCAGAAAACGGGGCTCCCACCTAGCAAGGGTTTTGAGGGAGCCCAGCTCTTACCGGCATTGCCGGGAGCGGATGTCTCAATCCTCGTGCGGGGGAAAGAAATGTAAGGGGGCTGGAGGTAGTAGGTGGAAATTGGGAACAGATTCCCGTCTCCCCTTACACACTTTTTCCCTTTTCACACGGGAGACGTTATTTTAAAGCACATTTTCGAGCACCTTTTACTTCAAAACATGATATAGGAGTCCATGACAGGTAGAGAGTCCACAATACCACACAATTCATGGGTCCTAAGATCACTAATTCACACAATCAACCAACACAATATGAAGAATGAAGGAGACTTCTTAAATGCATCAACATCTTCCATAGTGCTACACTACCTCCCTAGGCTGCATAGTACTATAAAGACTGTCAATTCAAAGCATACTGAGCAGGCAATTGCAGGGAACACGTGCTTGGAGCCGTCAAATCAAAATTGGGACAATGGACTAGGCTCCAAGCACACACATACAGCCAAACATTCACACGCATACATAATCGAACATCAATCCCCCCACACTTAAGCACGACATTGTCCTTAATGGAGGAAAGATAAGGAGGGTAGAACGAAGTTACCAGATCAAGTGTGAATGATGGTGAACAGGGCAGGCGGTGCATTCCAGGAGGAGAGAGTCGTCGGAACACAAACACCACACAAAATCTCACAAAGGTTGAGTTATTGACTCTAAAATCAAAGAACAAAACTGACTCAACCGAAGAGAAATAGGGAAAGAAATGAAAACCGAATGGTTGGGTTGCCCCCCAATAAGGGCTTTTTTCACGTCATGAGCCGGACGGTAGCTCCTAAGTTTCGGTCCATGTTAGAACCTCTTTGAAGTTGAGGTTATCATCTATGAGGTGGAGTCTCAAGGCTCGTGCACTTGATGCAGCTGAAGTCTCCACCCTCGAGACCTCTTCTTCGTTTCTTCTCTTGTCTCATTGCCCCAAACCAAATATAACTGTATCGACTGACCACCATAGCGTCCACCAAGAGGGGCCGATGTCGATGTGGCCTTAGTCTGGCAAAGAGACACTGCAAATGGGTCCTTGCTAAGAAGTTCCTCTAAGTTTAGTGGGGATATTACTTGTATTATAGGGCCGGTGCAAGCCTCTTCCACCTCAACTTCATCCTCAGCCTGGACACCACTCGCTTCTTCAACCCTCCTTCCTTCTTCAAAATTTGGTCTCTCTCCACGGAAAAGATCAAGAACTACCTCTTCCTTGCTTTCTTCCTCATCCTTTCTCTCTCTTCTTCTTCTTCTTCCATAACTGATTGTAGAGCAAGTCGCCATGCAAGGTTCTCAATAAGTTCAGCTTGCATCTCCTCGCTCGGGCCCAGCATGTCAGAGCGCAAATGGGGAAAGTTGTGATCTACCACCAGAGGATACACTTGATCATGATTATCATGGGAGCTTTCCTTGACAACTTTTGTATGCTCCTCAACATCCTCATGATTGCCTTCTTCTTCCTCCACCTCTACTTGTATGGCAGCATAAAGGTTGTCTTGTGAACAAGCTTTCTCAGTGATAGTTTGGATCTGGCTGTGGAGTGTAGCATGGCTCTGTCAGATGGCCCGAGAAGGTTGTGGCTGAATCAAGATCTGATGGCCCTTCTAGTTGCGGGAGGAATTCTTCTTGATAATGAGATTGTTCTTGAAATAACCAAGGGTATGATTGTTCTTTGCAGTAGGGGGTTGGTACTGAAACCCGACTCCATAGTCTTCTCCTCCTTGGGTGTTCCAGGAAGTCTCGGGGTAATACCACTTGGGTGGTGGTGGATACCCCCACTGGTTGGAGAACCCATGAGGATCCATGATTCAGATCTGCACCAACAAAAACAAAAACACCCAAGTGAAAAGCAAGGGTGAAAAAAAAACTTCTGCCTTTCCTAATAATCTAGAAAGTCCCCGGAAACAACGCCAAAAACTTGACACACTAGAACACAACACCAAACTGCGACCAAGTGTAATCGCAGAATGGGAATGCAGTTGATAAGCCGTTAATTGCACATGTTTTTACCCCTATTCTGGAGCCGTTTGAGGTGTTGATTCTCGTGTTTTAGGCCGATTTCACGCTAGGTTGTGCTTGTTTGTGATATTTCATGTCCTAGTAAGTGAATGAAGGCTTGGGAGCGAGTTCGGGGTCGATTGGACGAAGATCGGACGCGCGGCGAGTCGCTGGGGAAGCCACACGGGCACACACAGAACCCACATGGCTGTGCAAGTGACCAATGTAGCCGTGTGGGATTGTGCGAGGCTTCACACGGCCAGGCTGGGTGAGCTACACGGCCGTGTGCCCTTGGCCGTGTAGGAAGCCTGAAACCCACATAATCGGAACGCGGCGTTTTGACCTCACACGGGCAACTGGGTATGCCACACGACCGTGTGGCCTGCCCGTGTGAGTCGGTAATTTCTGGTTTTTACCCAATTTCGGGCTGCAAGTGAGGGAATCAGATTTTGAGAGCAAAAACATAGCCCTAGAGAGAGAAAGTACGAAGAACACATCCTAGAAGCTATCTTGGAGCTGGGTTTCATCAAATCGAGCTTGGAGATCATCATAGTAGTGGAAATCATCATCCCAGAGCAGATTCTTCCCATTGTTATGAGTATGACTGCTTTGTATTCTGTTTTCCCCTCTCTCTCTATGGAGTAGAACCCTTCTCTCACTTGGGTATGAAGAACCCTAGTTCTATGTGTTAGGGATTTGATTGTAATGACTTGGGATGATTATACTGTTTGGTTTTAATCAAATGATGCATGTTTATTGAGTCAATTGAAGTCTGATCAGCTTTTCCTGATTTCTGCTGCAACCTGAGATAGATAGAATCTGATTAGGTTGTTAGAGCCTCATCATTCGGTAGTAGGAGATTGGTTATACGAGAGTTAGCCAGTTTACTGCTTTGTACTGGAATCCAATTCCAGTAGTGGAGTTCTGTGCTTATTGCTTCAGCTTTCTATCCCGGTGAAGACTAGTCGTCTGCCGGGTAGTTAGACTGAGAGGGCTTGGTCAGCTTAAGAGATTCCAAGCTACTGTCGGATCTTCCGCAGTCTAATCAACAGTAAATCAACCCAGGGAAATTACAATTGAGACCTAACTAAGGAGCTAGGGGGACTCATTCTCGAGTGACTCTTCTTTGCTTGAGAAAACCGAACCAATTCCTGCTTTCTTACTGCTTTTGCTTTAAACAACAATCACTTAACTTAGTTGGCTAGATAATAGATAATCGCGGAGTAAGAAGTAGATCTAGACCCCGGGTTGATAATAGAACTTGCCACTTTACTGCATTCCCGGACTGCGATTACACTTGGTCGCAGTTTGGTGTTGTGTTTTGGCGTGTCAGCAGTATAGTGGCACAAGTAATAAATATCGAATCCACGGGTCTCTAGAGTTAGTATTACTCAGCTTCAGTTCATTATCTAGCAAACTAGATTAAGGATTGATTTACTAAACTACTCTACTAACTACTCTACTAATTACAAGTTGGGAACTCACTTAGGTATGATTCCCCCTAGCTCCTCAATTAGGTCCAAGTTGCAATTACCTTTGGTTGATCTACTGTTGATTAAACTGCGGAAGATCCTAAATTAGCTTGGAATCTCTTAAGCTGACTAAGCCCTCTTAGATAGAATACCCGACAGGCGACTAGCCTTCACCGGGATAGACTGCTAAGGCGATTCACAAAGATCTCCACTACTGGAATGAATTCCAGTACAACGCAGTGAATTGATTGACTCTTGCACAACCAATTCGCCACTATCAATCAAGGAAGCTCTCTTAACCTAATCAGATTCTATCTATCAGAGGTTAAAAATACGGGCATGGGAGGGACAAATGCGGTCGTATTTCTCCTGCCCGTATTTCTTCCTCTGCTCTTGTTTAATGCTTCGTTTCTCCCTCGTCCGGACTCTGAATCAGTCGTTGTTTGTTCCCAGACGCTCGTAGTCTCGTCCTCTTTCTTTTCATGACAAGATTCTATGATTATTTGTCTATAATATGAGGTATAAGTCCATTCTTCCTCAGGTCAGGCTCGTGTTTCTTCTCCCGAATTGCCAAATGAATTCCGATTGACTTGAAACTTGCGCCTATGCTTCAATTTACATGCTAGGACCTGAAATTTGACAAAATAACACAACCTAGCGTAAAAAAGTCCAATAAAGCAAAAACTCAAGCCAAAATGATCAAGAAACGAGGGTGCAAACATGTGCAAATACGACGTTATCAGTCATCGTCATGATACATGGACCAATTTAAACCGTATGGATATATGCTTCTCACTATCCTTTGGAGATCTTAAACTCCTCATTATGATTCTTCTGCTCTTAATAGAAAAACGAGTGGTGATATGTACCTTAGTACATTCGAAATCTAATTTCAGTGGGGCATTCCTATGAGAAGTTGTTGGTTCCTCTCTAGTAAAAGTAAAAATTCCACCCGTAGATGGGATAGCCATTTGAGGATATGTTTCTAGCGAAATGATACACATTTACTTTATTGACCCCCAGCACGATCGAGGAAAATGAGTTAAACATAGACTCTTATGCTAGTTCTAAGGGGAAAAATTGTTCTCGCTCGATCAGGCTGCTAAATACAAGAGGACAAAGCAAAATAAGCCCACTTGAGCCACAAAAAGCACAAGTAGTGAACAAGGCTTCTCATGTTTAACCTGAAAAGAAGGAATACCAAAAGACTCTGGAAAAATATTGTCACAAAGGTTGAGATGCGCATAATTGCTTCCCTCGAAATCTCTAGAAAGACTCAAGTTATTAAAAATAACTCAACTTCGTGGGAGACCAATCATTTCGTCCTTGCAAATTACGTTTTGCACTTTATCTCCATAGACAAAGGTCTCTAAGTGCGAGGGTTGACATTTTATGTTTCTTATGGTCCAGTACCTAAGATCGAAAATCACGTGTCATCTTAGTGGTCTAGTGAGAAGTAAAATTTTGAACTTAGATTTTCTTGGGGACATGAAAAGTTCAAGTGTGGGGTTATTTGATGACACGTAGAATATGCTATTTTAGACCCTCGTATTATGACCAAATGTGCATTGCTTTCTCATATTTATCGTCATAATACGTTGAATTTATTATATGTGCTCAAATTATGTTCTAGTATATCGATGATTGCTTTTATCATTATCATATGTTTTTGGTAGCGTTTTGTGCATTTTCAAGTTAGATTATGCTAGAGAACCAGTTGGGAGCACCGAGGGACATCGAGGCTTAACTGCTGGGAGCAATACTCAAAGAGGAAATGATGGCCTAGAAAAGGCACCCAAAAAGGCTTCCTAAGATCTAAAACGGCTATGTGGCTTCTTCTTAGGGAGCTGTCTAAATTTTATCAAAAATGCGTATTGATTTATCTTGAAGTAGTAGTTGCACCGAGTGATGCTTCTAATTGGTTGGATGAGGCATCAATACCAAGTTCTCCTTCCCGATAACCAAAATCCAAGGTCTATAAATAGGTCCCTAGGGTTTAGAACTCGATAGCCAATGCTAGGATACATTAGAGGGTTGTTACTCCACCGACAGAGTAACTCACCCAACTAAGAGTAAAACCAGTTATGATGGAGAAAATGGCGTCAAAATCAGCGAGCAAAACTTTGATTTTTGTGTTACGACCTCCATTTTTATAAGTCTTCTCGGTTCTTTGTTTTTGATAGATCATTGATAGCACATGTTTTTACCCCTATTCTTGATTTGTTTGAGATGTTGATTCTCGTGTTTTAAGCCGATTTCACGCTAGGTTGTGCGTTTATGTCATATTTAAGGACTTAGCGTTGGCATCGAAGCAAAGAAACGAGTTTCGGGACGAAAGGAGCACGTTTGGGTTGAAATGTGCTGGAGGAGCAAAATACCCGGCCATGAGCAGAAATACCCGACCGGGTATTATTTGGAGAAGACCGGGGAAAACTAGTTTCGGGCGTCTGAGAAGCAGAAGGGGGCCCGGGCATTAAGCATAAATCCCCGGTCAGGTATTCTTAACCCTGACCGGGGACTAACCCCCTGTCCCCGACGGTGCATTTTAAGAATACCCGGTCTCCACCTAAAATACCCGACCGGGTATTTTGACCGGGTATCGTGAACGCAGGCTGTTAAAAGCCTATTTTATGCGTTTTTGCAAAGGAGAGCTGGCTTTTGGATCTCAAACACCCAAGGGACGAACCAAAGAGAGAGAGGGCGATTTGAGGGCATTCTTGGAGTGGAACTGGAGGATTTCTTCACCTAGCAAGCTCGAGGAACAAGCCCGGCTTGAAGACTGATCATCTGAAGATTCTTACTGCAGTCTCTCTTTTCTCTATGGAGTAACTTCCCTTCACTTAGGTTTTGAGGAACCCTAGCTATGTTTGTTTGATTAGATGATTGTATGAGTACTCTTACTTGATAATCTTGAGTTCATATTCAATCTATGCATGTTTTCAAGATTCAATTCTGCTTTAGTCGAGATTATTGATTCTGCTTTCATCCTATGAGAGCGAATACCTGATTAGGTCAATAGAGCACCATAGATTGATAGTAGTGGATTGATTGCTTTATTCGAGGGTTGATTCACTGCTTTGTATCGATTGAGAACCTCTTTTAGAACGCTTTGATCGGTTGTTCTAGAGAAGGATACGTTCCTCTAGGCAATTGACTCAAGAGGGCCTTGTTCCTTTAGTCGAGACTCAAGGTTAGAAATCATCAATCATTAATCTGGCTAGTGGCTAGGGGGAATCGTACCTAAGTGAGTTCCCAACCTGTAATTAGATTAACGTTAACTGTAGTTTTTTTAGAGTAGTTTTAGTTCTTCCATCTTAATCTGGTTTGCTAGATAATGAACTGAAGCTGAGTAATAGTAACTCTAGTGACCCGTGGATTTGATATTTATTACTTGAGCCACTATACTGCAGTCCCTTCCATTGGTTACACTTGGCCATTGTTAGGAGTTGTGTCATAGCGAGTCAAGTTTTTGGCGCCGTTGCCGGGGACTTTCTAGATTATTAGGAAAGGCAGAAGTTTGTTATTTTAGCGTTTTTATTTTCTTTTTCACCCTTGCTTTTCACTTGGGTGTTTTTGTTGGTGCAGATCTGAAGCATGGATCCTCATGGCTTCTCCATCCATTGGGGGTACCCACCACCATCCGAGTGGTATTACCCCGAGACTCCCTGGAGCAATCAAGGAGGAGAAGACTATGGATTTGGGTTCTAGTACCAACCCCCATACTACGGAGAACAATCAGACCCCTGGGCATATCAAGAACAACCTCATTACCAAGAAGACTTTCTCCCACAACCAGAAGGGCCATCGGAGCTAGAGTTACCCATGGCCGCCTTCACGGGCCATTCTGCAGAGCCATGCTACACTCCACAGCCAGATCCAAACTATGAATTGAGGCTTCTCATGGAGCAGTTTGCTCGAGGCAGTGAGAGATCATGCTCCAGGATGGATCTTTGTACCCAGGCCTATCGTGAAACATAGAAGATCCTCCTGAGCATTAAGAAGAGCCTCGATGATCTTGAGAAATCTTATGCACAGCCTGCTCAAGATCACCCTTCTGCTACTATACAAGAAGAGGAGGAGGAAGAAGAAGGCTACAAGGATATTGTGGAGCACACAGAAGTTGTCATTGAGAGCTCCTGTGATGATCATGATCAAGAATTTCCTGTCGTAGCCCACCACACCTTCCCACATCCCACACTGTGCTTTAAAGAGGCGGGCATGAGTGAGGAGATGCAAGAAGATCTCATCAAAGAAATTGCTTGGCGACTTGCCCTACAATCCGTGCTGGAAGAAGAAGAGCAAGAAAGGGTACAGGAAGAAGTTGTGGAGGATGATGAAAGTGAAGCAGAAGGAGTTCTTGATCTTTTTCCAGGGGTGATACCACAAGAAGAAGGAAGGGAGGTTGAATAAGCAATTGGCGTCCAAGCCGAGGACGAAGTTGAGGTGGAAGAGGCTTGCACCGGCCATGAGTTACATGTGATATCTTCACCAAACTTCGAGGAATTGCTTAGCAAGGACCCATTTGCAGTGTCTCTTTGCCAGACCAAGGCCACATCGACATCGGTCCCTCTTGCTGGACGCGATGGTGGTCAATCGATGTTTTCATATCTGGGTTGGGGCAATGAGACGAGAGAAGAGAAGTAGAGGTCTCGAGGGTGGAGACTTCATCCGCATCAAGTGCACGAGCTTCCATCACCTGTCATACCACATGCTCGTGACTTGAGACTCCACCTCATCGACGAGAACCTCAACTTCAAGGGGGGTTTTGGGATGTACTGAAACTTAGGAGCCATCGTCCGGCTCACGACGTGAAAGAAGCGCTTGTTGGGAGGCAACCCAACCAGTCGGTTTGCATTTCTTTCTCTATTTCTCCTCGATTGAGTCAGTTTTGTTATTTGATTTTAGAGCCAATAACTCAAACTTTGTGAGATTTTGTGTGGTGTTTGTGTTCCGACTACTCTCTCTTCCTGGAATGCACCGCCTGCCTCGTCCACCATCATTTACCCTTGATCTGGTAACTTCGTTCTACCCTCCTTATCTTTCCTCCATTGAAGACAATGTCATGCTTAAGTGTGGGGGGATGTTCGATTAGGTATGCGGGTGAATGTTTGGCTGTTTGTGTGCTTGGAGCCTAGTCCACTATCCAAATTTTCAAATTTGAGGGCTCCAAGTACGTGTTTCCTTGCAAATGGCATGCTCAGTATGCTTTGAATTGACAGTCTATATAGTAATGTGCAACCTAGGGAGGTAGTGTAGCACTGTGGAGGATGTTGAAGTATAAGATTTTTCCTATCTAGCTCTCTGTTGTGCCAGTTGATTTTGTGAATTAGTTGAGATAAGACCGTTGAATTTATGTGGTAATGGTGACTCTGTTTGGATTGTGTTATGGACTCGTGTATCGAACAGGGTGCTCATATGGAAAAATGGAAAGCAGTTGGTCCTCCATGTCGAAATCATTGAAATCTTGAACATGGGGTAAGGCCAACGTGTGTGGCAGCGTTCATTGCACAAAATCGGGTTTTGGAGGAATTTTAGTGATCCTTAGTGGGGTACTCCTACAAGGTGAAGCTAGCTGTCTCTAGTACAAGTAAAACTTTCACCCGTTGAACGGTTTGCCTACTTGAGGATGTGTTTTTAAGGGCACGGATAGAGCTTCCGACCCCCCTTAATTTCATTGACCCTCCACACGAGTTGAGGAAAAGGAGTTAAAAGAAGTACTCTGACGAGCGCCAGATGTAGAGAAATTGCTCTTGCTCGACTAATAAGAGTCGACTGTGCAAAAGACTGCAGTTGGAACCCCCGCCAAATGAAAGAAAAGAAAAAAAGAGTAAAATGAAAGTGAAAAAGGGGTTCCAACGGTGAAATGAAGTGAAAGAGCACCCCGATACAACGAGTCCTTCGTTGTGAATGGTGTGAGTCCCTTTATCCATGAACTGACTGTCTTACTACTACTTCTTCTCATGATCGTGGCTTGAGTCTAGTACTCGCATTGAGAGAGATAGGGGATGTCTTAGAAGACCAGTTGACCTCGTAAGCTGCAATATGATCTAGGAAATCCTCTACCAACGATCAGGGTTGTTTGTTGCTATAGAGGTCTGGAGAGTTGCATTGGTTTAAGCTAGGTATGCTTGGGGACAAGCAAACGGTTAAGTGTGGGGGAGTTTGATAGACCATTGATTACACATGTTTTTACCCCTATTCTTGAGCCGTTTGAGATGTTGATTCTCGTGTTTTAAGTCGATTTCACGCTAGGTTGTGCGTTTATGTCATATTTCAGGACTTAGCGTTGGCATCGAGGCAAAGAAACGAGTTTCGGGACGAAAGGAGCACGTTTGGGTTGAAATGTGCTGGAGGAGAAAAATACCCGGCCATGAGCATAAATACCCGACCGGGTATTATTTGGAACAGACCAGGGAAAACTGGTTTCGGGAGTCTGAGAAGCAGAAGGGGGCCCGGGCATTAAGCATAAATCCCCTGTCGGGTATTATTGACCCTGACCGGGGATTAACCCCATGTCCCCGATGGTGCGTTTTGAGAATACCCGGTCTCCACCTAAAATACCCGACCGGGTATTCTGACAGGGTATCGCGAACGCAGGCTATGAAAAGCCTGTTTTGTGCGTTTTTGCAAAGGAGAGTTGGGCTTTGGATCCCAAACACCAAGGGACGAACCAAAGAGAGAGAGGGCGATTTGAGGGCATTCTTGGAGTGGAACTGGAGGATTTCTTCGCCTAGGAAGATCGAGGAACAAGCCCGGACTTGAAGACTGATCATCTGAAGATTCTTACTGCAGTCTCTCTCTTCTCTATGGAGTAACTTCTCTTCAATTAGGTTTTGAGGAACCCTAGC